GCTGGTCTACACAGAAGAAAGACCTGTCTAGACTCTGCCCCGGTACGAGTTGTGTCGAGCTATTCATTAGTCTGTTTGATGAGAAAAATATGAAATTGATAAAATGGGTTATTAATCCGTACATCTGCAGCAGTGGAGGACTATTATTCTGCTGCGTGATACTGCAGAAGAACTGAAGAAGGCACGGTTTGATCTTCGGCTGACCAATCAGCAGAAAGGGGCGTTTAATTCCCGCCCACATGAAGAAATCGAATATTCAAGCTGTTTATTCATTTTTCCATCCCTGAACGAAAAACGGAAATTTAAGCTGAATTCTCGTTTTCGTTTTTTGGAAAAAAACGAAAAAGGAGCCGTTTTCTCATTTTTCTACTTTCAATATTAAATCAAAAAACGAATGATCAAATGATACACGGATTCATCAATACGCTATTATTGCACACATCAACCCCCACACGGCCATTGTAAAAGCTGTTCTCAGTTCTCGCGCGTCGCGTGTATTAATCGCGCCGCGTCGCTCGTGGTGTAGATCGATTTTAGGCAGGGTTGTAAATTCAAATGTGTGTTCCTCGCGTTGAAGCCGTTCAGAAGGGTGGGGTTGCTCGATTGCGCCTGCTCGGTGTGGGCTGGAGTCTGGGGGGGGGGGGCTGCCCCGATGGTTTAAATCCTACACATGCGTACTGGATTTCGGGGTTCAAGGGAATAGGCTACGCCATATTGAAAACACTGTATAGTTTAGCTAACAGTTTATTGCTAGCGGGGGAAAAGGGCCACTAATTGATTCCCGTTGGTTGTGTCGTTCGGCACGTCGTTATTTTCCCTGTCGTTTCGCGTAGCCCCGTTTACAGGCACGTTCTCGCGGTCCGGACTCAAACTTCTCCGCTGAACGCTTGTTTGACAGCGCTGCTAGAAAGACGAGTTGAATGGATCCGAGGGTCGCTTGGATTCAGCCGGAACAGAAAGGTCCTGCGAACGCTTTATGGATGCGTGTGTGGGAGACGTCTCGGGTAAACCGGACTAACACGGGTCAGCACCAGAACCACCATCACAACAACCTCTGTGTCAATTCTCCGGCGTTTGACGTTTATAAGACTGTCGCGTCCAATGCGAATAACAGCACTAACATTAAAAGCAGCGGCTCTGCGGCTCACGCGTTAAATGGAAACACGGGAGACGGCGAAATGACCCAAAAGACCGGCTCGGTGGCGGATCCCGCGTCCAGCTGCTCTAAAATAAGGACTACAAGCCCTAATATGATCGCTGGGAATATGAACAAGGGGCATGCGTTTTTTACTTGCAGCGAGAGCGTGCTGAATAATGTCAACCATCATCATCATCACCCTTCTCATCCTCATCTACGGCACTTCCATCAAGAGCAGCAGCAGCAGAGTTGCATGAAGCGCCACCCGTCCCATCCGGCAGCGGTTCACAGCCACCATCACCACCACCATCATCCGGGCCGGAGGAAAAGCGACAACAAGGCCAGCACCTATGGGATAAACTACCTGCTCTCCAACTGGACTAACGGCAATTATGACAACTCCGGCACGCCGTGGAAGACGAGGAAATATAACCCAGGGGTTGACGGGTGAGATGAGCTTGATTTATAACAGCGGCGGTCGGGATGGGGCGTTATAATGTTACGCTGTCTTTCTGTGGCCTTTTCGTGTGTGATAAAGTGTCAGTGGGCCTTTTTTGTCGTGTTGGGCCGGGTAATTAGCTTTAGCCCGTTAGCCGGGGTGTCCTGGGTTCGGTTCGGAGCCGCTGCGGTCTGTGGGTTGGGTCACTTGTGGAATGTGAGCGTCTGATTACGGTTTGTAGCGATTCCGATTCGTCAACGATTCGATCTTTTGATTCGGATCTTTATATCAATGAATCTGTTGAACCGGCGTGTACGATTCATCCTCCAATCGTTTGGGGCGGTTTCCAGTCATAACTCATTAAAACGAGAACCAAACATGTCAGTTAACGTAAATGAAAATTGTGACCCTGGACCACAAAACCAGTCATAAGGGTAGATTTT